TTGTAATTTTGTGTACTTACAGTAGTCCTATTTTCCTTTTATTATTTTGACTAGTTATTCTTTTGATCCTTGAAACAGGTCCCAGAGGAGTCCCGTTTAGTATTTCGTGCACCTGCATCATCCTTAGAGTGTTGCTGTTTTATAAGCAATGATGAGTTCTTAACTGGATCAGATGACGGCAGTATTGAGCTTTGGACTGCATTAAAAAAGAAGCCTGTTTATATTGTACGAAATGCTCATCCTTCTTCATTGTCTTGCACTAATTTGGAGCCAAAGGAAAATGGTGCCATCCCCAATGGTTGTATGGGTATGTGTTTGTTCAAGGATTTTATATATGATTCTCTTCCATCATTCTGCAAGCTTTAATGTTCTTGTATGTGTATGGGAAGTTTTTTGCAATCACCATGAATTTCCCATCCCTTTTGTAAATTTCATACATCAATGAATTTCTTTCTCTTTTTGTTTTTTGAAATCGATTTCGATTAATTGCCATACGTCGTACCAATTATTATTCATTTGTGAATTTTGTTCTTTGCAGGAAATGGGAATGCTAATCTTAATACTTCTCATAGTTTGTCAGCACACTCTTGGGTAAGTTCAGTCTCAGTATGTAGAAACAGTGACCTTGCTGCATCAGGTGCTGGCAATGGTTTTGTTCGTTTATGGGCTCTCGGAAGTGATAAGAAAGATGTGCGACCATTATATGACCTTCCTCTGGTATGCGAGTTTTACATGTGTTTATATTACATTTGTAGCTGTTTAATTTTGTTTCTTCTGATTCAAATGACTTGAATGTGGCTATTGTGCAACTGCATTCTATATATATTTTCTCTTGAATTTGTGCACTCATATGTCCCATGAAGAGCACTTGAACACCTGCTGAGTTTGATTTGATATAACCCTGTTTCTATTTTTCCTATATTTTTCTTTGGAAGTACTCGAATAGAAAATTTAATGGCTTCTTCCATATCTGCTCTCTTCTCTCTCTATGTATGTGTGTGTATTTGCTGATCACTCTCTTTATATTGTTCTTATAGAAATAATATACACGTGAAATATGAGTTTGATGAAGTTGAATCTTGAAGTTGTGACATCTTTTTTATTCTCTCTTAGAAATCTAAGGATTTTGACTGTAAAAGTTGTTTCCGGCTGCCGAGGCATTAGTACCTGCTCTCGGCTATTTTTTCGTTATTTCCTTTTCTCTTTCTTTTCTTATGAAAACTTTACATAATTTTTTTTTTTTTTTATAGGAATGAATTCTATTTCTTGTATTTTTTTCCCGTCCAAATGAATTCTATGATGCTTTCCTATTTGGTTGTTTGACAGAGATTGATATCTGTGTTCTTCTTTTCAAGAAATAAATATAAATATAAATATTTATGGGGTTGCTTCTACATCAGTTGTGCTTAAGATGCTGTATACACTGTAGCTGCAGTCTAGTGTATTGCTTACATATGGCTATTTTATTTGTTTATCTATTTATTTTTGTATTTCAGGTTGGGTTTTTGAACTCCTTGACTTTTGCCAATTCTGGAAGGTTCGTGGTAGCTGGAGTTGGGCAGGTAATCATCACACAAATTAAACTTAAAACATGTTTAATTATTTTGTGGTAGATGTTTGGCCCAGGATTACCACCACTGGTTTGTAGTTATATATATATATATAGATATATAGATATATATAATATAAACGTAGAAAATTGGGAGACGAGATATTCCTCATACCAAAGGGCTACAAAAGACTCCAGCTGGTGAAAATTTGCATACAAAAAGGTTTAGAAGAATTAGATCATTTAGAAGCAAAATTTTTATCATGCTCCCAAAACATGTTAATCTCATCTTTCTTTTTCTTTTTTTATCATCTAGATTCACTTCCACTTGCATGCACTTGGACTATTTTCATGACCTTAAGATAACTCATTGAATATTATATTCTAGGTCGGTAGCCATCATTTAAACCTATGAACCTCTCTCTTGTTCTTGAAAAACTCTTATTTCTTTCAAACCACAACTTTTAAATAAGATCCGTCACTCCATTGGACCAAGAACCTTTGCTTGGCCTCTGTTAAACGTTCCTCAAATCTGGTACATTGCATTCAACGCTTTCCTTGAAATGCACCAATCTAAGTTAAATGTCCGGGAGAGATCTTCCCAACAAGTTGCCACGAAAGGACAGAAAAAGAAGAGAGATATTGGTGTTTCCTCATTATTCCTACAAGAATGCACCAATTCACCTCACTAATTTAGGGGAAGCGGTTCAAAGGGCATAGTTCTTTGAAGTTGCTGCGGTTGAAGTGGAGTCTGCTCCGAAAGGGTCTACTTTTCTTCTAACCGGGATAGCAGGGTTGAAGCCCTTTTTAGAACTGATATAGAAGGATCAGAAAAAAATTACTCTATTTTGCTAAAAATTAGGTTAATAAATCATAATATTTTATGCAAGTTTTGGGAATTTGGTGGTTTGTGGCTTTACCTTATACAGAACGGTCCTCCATTTGTCATCTTTAAAACTCCACTATAAGACAAACCATCCAACATCTCTGAGAGTTATTCACTCCCCTGTTTCTGCATTGCTAAGGACCTCTCTTCGAAGATAAAAATCATTCCATTGGATTCCTAGTTCCAACTTGCCTCATTCTGAAGGCCTAGCAGTTTAGATAGAAATATCTGTTGCAGTCTAGGAAACAGCATAGGGAGGGGGATCGTCCTCATGTCCTTCCAAGAATTCAAACCCTTACCATTCCTACTTCGAATCTGGAAATGGTAGAAATATCAGTCTTTGACGAACTAAGCCTCCAGGCAATTCATAAATGCATTAGTTTCCAGAGGAAATTTCTACAGCCATTTGGATACGAAAGCCAGACACCTTCTTCCTATATACCCATCTCTACCCTCCTTTTTCCTAACGCTAACAAGCAGTTTTCTCCTTCACCTAATGTCCCTTCCATCTGTAGCACCTCTGTCCTATGGAAAACTCCTATGGTCTCTTTTTTGGATTTCGCTGATTCTAGCAGGAATCTCGAAAACGGATAATAAATAGTTACGTTTGGCAGAACAGAATAGATTTGATTAGGTGAGGAATTGATGATTTGAATTCGTATCTAGATTGCTGGTTTTCTTCATGGACTTCTCTTGTTGAAAATCTCTTCTATTTTCACAGTTTTGTTATTGGCGAGTTATTTTGTTCTTCTTCCTTCATAAGTTTTGTAGTCATGCTGAGAGTGAAATGGTATGCCTAGTGCTGACACCATAAGTTAACTTCATGACAGGAACCTCGTCTAGGAAGATGGGGTCGAATCCCAGCTGCTCGGAACGGAGTTGCAGTTCATCCCCTTAAACTCCCATGAAACTGAATTGAAGAGTTCTATACCCTATCCAATTTTGACCTCTCAGAGCTAAAAGTAAAATTGAAAGGTTCACCCCACCCCCACCCCTGTATTTATTTATTTTTGTATTTTTTTTCACCCACCTACCTAACTTTTTCCCACCATTTAGCCATGGAAACAATAGTAAAATTAGAGCATTCATGTTTTTTTACTGAGAAGGATGAGTTTGAAAGCCATTGAAGATAGATTCTGTTGTGATCACATGGGCCGCTCAGTTGGGGTTTCCTGGCAATTCCCTGTTGTGATGTACCTTTTTGGGCAATTCATTATTCAACTGTTTCCAATCAAGTCGTTGTACCAAGGTTCACAGTGTTCACATTCATCACTTTGTACGTCATAAACTGCAACAAATCTTCATTGTACTTTTTATTTTTATATTGGTTTCAGATTCTCCAGGAAACACAATGGTTTAATTCATGGAATTCTGGTATGTTGATGATGATAAAGCCTTTGGAATACTGTTCTTGATTTATAGTCATTATTATTAGAACGGCACTTGACCTTTCTTAATGAACATTATTTGTCCAATTCCAATGGTTTATAATCTTAGGTGACTGATTTCCCCAGCTTTGACATTATGTGGTTTAACGAGTATCATTGCCTATCCCTGTTATTGCCTGTCATAAACTTATGAAATAGTTAGAAAGTTTAGTTTATGTAATGCTAGTTTCTATGCCAAAAGCAGCTTTTTGATCCACTAAATGAGGTTGAAATACTGACTTTATTGCTTGAAAGCTGGAATTCTAAATGGTTTGATTGACGACAGTAGTTTTTTAATCCGTAGTCGTACTAGTATGTACCAATATTGAAAGTATGAGTATCGAAAAATGAAAGAAAGCTTGTCGAAAATTGCCAACCAAGAAAGGCAGGGGACTACCTTGAATCAACAATGATTGAAACTCGAGTGGGTAGAGTTTTGAGTTGCAAGAAATTTATCAATTTGATGCTTCGGTTGCATTGGAATAAATTTTTGTGCAAACCTTATCGGACACAACTTAATTGTTTTAGACATTCATTTGATATTGATGTCAGAAGTTTGAATTCTCTTAAGTTGATCGAAAGGTCAAAAGTTTGAATTTTCTCATTTGATCGAGAGGTCAGAATTTGAATTTTCTCATTTGATCGAGAGGGAGGTCAAAAGTTTGATTTCTCTTATTTGATTGAAAGGTCAGAAGTTCGAATTCTCATTTGATCGAAGGGTCAGAAGTTTGAATTCTCTCATTTGATCGAAAGGTTGAGGTCAGAAGTTTGAGTTCTCTCATTTGATCGAAAGGTTAAAAGTTTAAATCCTCTTATCCTCTCATTGAATCGAGAGGTCAGAAGTTTGAATTCTCTGTTAAACTCAAAGAAAATGGGTAAATGTTAAGTATCATATCATATCATAAATTTAAAGCAATTCAATTAAACTCTTAAACGTCATAACTAAATTAATTCAAATCCCGAAAGTTCATCCCTACATAAATTCGAACACTTACGAAGTCACTACGAAAAAGGCTTTCTATTTGAAAATCATAACATATTTGAAAAGAAAAGTATAAATTAATATAATTTAAATGCAATTAAAAATCAGATAATTCCATCCTTTTTGGCAGTCACTACTTTAAGTAAATTAAAATTAACCTAATTGGTGTTTAATTAATCTTTGCTAATCTCTAACCTATTTCCCAAAATAGGCTTCCCAGAAGGTCGTAACAAGAGCAGAACCCGGAGGGCAAAATGGTAAAAAAAAAACAAAAGAACTACGAACGAAGCCGTGGAGATCCCTCCGGTGTACTCTGATTAGATGCCCTCGCTTCCCGCATCGCTTCGTATGCCGTATCCTTGGAACCACCGCCGTCGCCGCCGCCGCCGCAAATTTCGACGGTGGCTGCGGCAGAGAGACAGCAGCGGACGTCTTCATTTCCGTACATGTAGACTGCTAGAGGAACGTCGCCGTTAATATTACCGTTGCCGGTCGGGTTCCGAGACGAGGAGCAAGAAGAAGTGCCGCCGCCGCCGCCGCCGCCGGGGATGTAAAAGGGAGTCGCCGGTTGAATGACATTGTCGTTGAATGCTATGGCGTAATCTCTCACAGAATCAGGCAATCGGCAAGACGATGCCGGAGTGGAATTCTCTCCGCCGCCGCCAGCTACTGCGCTACTCGTCGACGTCGGAGTGGTGCTCCTCACAGTCCCACAAACTGAACATCTATTCAAAATCTAAGACGAAGAACATAACCAAAATTTAGAAAGAAATAAATCTTAAGGGACAAAAAAAATAAGAACAATTATTCCATCCAATTTCATAATTGATTTATATCAAAAAAGGTTAAAAATTAGAACTCCCGTAAGAAGTAAACTGTTCCTTATTTGGTCACAGGGATAATAGCTCTTATTAGGTTAATGACAACCAGCTCGGGAGTTACCCGCGATTGGTAATGGCATAACCAGAAGAGGGGTAGCATCTATTTCGAGTACAGAGGCGACAAAGGGTGCTAACCCGGTATATCAAAGCCTCACTTTAACTAGCCACGAAAGATTATGACTACAGTTTTGTATTTTGTGGGTACTCAATTCAATAGAAGACAAAAAACATAAGGGAAAGAGGGAGGGTACAGATGCGGAGGAGCGATAGGTGGTGCCGTCGGGGTCGACAATCCAGCCGGCCTCGTTGGCGAGGTGACGGAGGACTTGATTGATATCGGCTCGAGGGGAGAGGCGGTAGCCGCCGTGCTTTCGAAGGCCAAGGAAGATATTGGTAGTAATGGCTCTTCTTTGCCTTTCCCTCATCTTAGTTTTATGTTTTTCAGTCTCACTTCTAACTCCCTTTCTTTTTGCAGCACCAACTTCACTTCCTTCCTTCATATCTCTCACTTTCTTTCTCTTTCCGTTTGTTCTAAAGATGAGATTTTGGTCGCTTTGTTCATGGTTTTGTAGTTGGAAGGAAAGGAGTGGTGATGGGGAATGGACGGTTGTGATTGAGGAAGAAGTGGTGATGGGGAATGGACGGTTGTGATTGAGGAAGGAGTGGATGGAGATGGAGACGAGAAGCATGTTATCAAAATTTCCAATTTCTGTTCTTTTTCTGCATGACACTGGAGGAGTTTGCTCACGATGAATTTGCATGTGGAATACAAAGAGAGTGGGAATCACGCGCTCCAACCATACCTAATACAATATCATGTTACACCCACCATTTCTATTCTGCTCGTTTCTTAAGACCTCGGACTTTCTTAAGACCTCGGACTTACTCAAGGATCATCGATGTAACAACCCAGATCCACTGCTGGCAAATATTGTCCTCTTTGGGCTCTCCCTTTTGGGCTTCCCCTCAAGGCTTTAAAATGCATATGCTAGAGAAAGGTTTCTACACCTTTATAAATGATGTTTTGTTCTCCTCCCCAACCAATGTGGGACATCACAATCGAGGTCTCTATACCTTGAAAGTGACAATTTGAACTTGCTCTACGTTGAATCGAAGTTGATATTGAACAAATATCTCGTCTAATTGGGTGTCATTTGAAGATGGAAGGCTACTTAGTGATAAGAAGAGTGATTATCAACCTCATTCAAGTTGATAATGTTCATTTAGATTCATAATCATCCTGTGTCGAAATGTCAGCTATTAATCTGAAAGTAATAAGCATGCATTAAAAGTTGACTAGATGTCAATCTGAGCATAAAACAAGCACTAATTATGATTCAAAAAGTTAAAGGGTAGATCTCCTAACCTACCGTTATTGAACTAAAAAAGACGAGAAAAAGAAAACAAAAGAATGACCCGATATCGAAAGGATTGTAAGAGTACTAACGCTTATATCAACCTCACGTAAATAGTAGCAGTCTCCGTCGATAGACATATAAGGGGCCAATACGAGCTAGAATGAGTTTAAGCTAACAAATGAAAAACCTAGCAGAAGGAGAATAATATACCTTTTACAAATACATATTTCATATGGATTTCTCCTCATAATGATCCTACCATGTACCTCAATAATCTTTAAACATCGCAATTGAGGTAAAATCTTGAAGGCATCAACACAATATAAACAACTAAGTTAAACTTATGATAAAAATGATTCTGGAAGATGATTTATCTACATTTTCTGACTCACATTGGGGTATTTGATTACTTGCAGTCATAAATTCTGTAGTTACTGAGGCCTTTCGAGGTCGGGTCTCCTATCTAGAGCTTCACTAGTTGACTCGTCAGGAAATGCATCAGGATAAGTGGCTAAGATTCTTGATTTCATGCTCCTGAAAGAAAGAGAAGTTGATGAACTATACAATCTAGAAAGATACAGCCAATATTGAATCATGAAGTATACTAAATGATGCAATTTGATCAATAAAATAAATCAGTTATGACTGGTCAAGATAAAATTTAGAAGTCTCTCGCAGTGAAATAAAGTGTAAGGAAGAGCAGAGAGGATTGAGTATACAAGAACATTCCATCACAGATGAAAATTTTGAAGTAACCACAATCTGAACAAAATGGTTTCAAGAAGGATTTCTGGGTATTAAATAATTCAGATCCTTGCTTGGTAGAAGCCAACATAAATGTTCAATTTCTTGATTTCCTAACAGAAATGAACCAAAAAATAAAATAAATATAATAATAAAAAATAAGTAACCTTAATTTCATATATTTTCCATTCCAAATTTTAAAGGTTTGATTCACCTTGAGTTAGCTCATGCTAACTGTAACGACCCCAGATCTATCGCTAGCAAATATTATCCTCTTTAGGCTTTCCTTTTCGAGCTTCCCCTAAAGGCTTTAAAATGCGTCTGCTAGGGGAAGGTTTCCACACCCTTATAAATGGTGTTTTGTTCTCCTCCCAAATCAATGTGGGATATCACACTAACTAATTCCAAAATGTTTTAGGGAAGACACGTTGAAATGTTTGGTGATTTTTTATCGTCAAGAATAACTAGAAAAAGCCCTATTTTTGGATATGCTCATAACGTACCACCCTTTCAAGAATGCAAAAGCTTTATTATGGGAAAACCTTATCATGGCTTTCTTTTGGAATATATTGAAAGAAAGAAACAGAGAATATTTGCAGAAAAGACAAAGACCTACACAAAATTTTTAGATAATGTTGTTTGCCAAGCTCTATCTAGGTGTAACTGTCTAATATTTTTACTTCCTATAGTTATACCTCCCTCGTTGCAAATTGGGATGGTCTTTTATAAACACCATGAATTATACATCCCTTTTGTAAATTTCAATCATCAATGAAATTATCTCTTATAATAAATATATATACATACATACATGACCAGAAAAAAAATGATGAAAAAAGAACTATTTTATCTTATAAACTGTACATCTAGTACTAACAAAGAAACTAGCAGACCACCACCAAACAGGCCAAGTAAGGAGAAAATAACAATAACTATAGTTCTTCCACAATCAAGAAGAATTAGTCTCCAAGAAAAAATTGTACTATTTCAGTCTACTTTCTTTTGAAAAATTAAATGCATGAAGGGTCCATAAAGGTGAAAGAGTTTGTAGGTGTCAACTAAAGGCCATGGACATTGGAACACTAGGCCAGCTTTGCCTACAGTTGCACTGTGGTCTGTAAAGATCATAGAAGTGCATAAACTGGAAAGAAAGTATGTTGAATGAACTAGAACACATTTCTCCATCTGATCCCCCTTGATAATGAAATATTACTATCCATTCCCATCGTAATGATATAGAAGGGTTAGAAAAGAACTCTGCAACGAATAATTGCAGAGATCATTTGTACTGAAACAAGTTACTTTTACGGAAAATGCGTATGCTTGAAGAATTCCCTTAGTTATGTATTCTAACAAAAATACTTCTATGCATCTAAAATCCCAATGTTCAACATGGTAAATGCATTAACAAAGTGGAAAATTTTACCAAACAGTGCTACTACACTTGGTGGAAAACTTGCTTCGACAAAAAACGTATTAGTAGCTTGTAAGTTATATGCCACACGAAGGTTACAATTCTAAAGATACAGAACTAATTAACGAGCATCTAGTGTATGAAGATATTAATACTTCTTCCCACACACGATTCACTCAAAACGGAAAATCCCCATAAGCTGAAGCATTTTAATTATTGAGTATCTCTAACCCCCTTATTTCTTTTTTTCTCCTTAGAATCTATTTCAAATTTTGATTCATACATAGTTTAGTTATTGAGACCTGGTTCCAGGATTATTTATACTTGGTTTGAATCATTAAGTTTGGACATTACTTTGGTGATCGAAATGGCAGGAACATACTATTTCTTGTGATTTTTTTAGGGGATTAAATTGAAAGATGCCATACATTTTAGGGAACAAAAGATCATAAACAATAACGAAAGTAATATTTGTACCAAGAACATTTGATCATCGATTCACCACCATACCTTATTTTCAGAAATATGTAATCAAGGTCAGATTTCATGGACTTCAAAAGACGAGTATTTCTAGATAGATCTCCAGACACCTCAGCAAAGCAATGCTCCGAGAACTCGTTAAAATGAGAGAGGACAGCATTGCTATCCTGCAATCTCCCCAATCTGCAATGAGCGATTCAACGAAACAATTAAGAGTAATGGTAATAAATTTTACATATTCTTCAAATCATCATTAAAAAAACACCGAATACTTCAACAATAAAGTCGGTACAGAACTCCAATTTGATCCTAATTCGTCAATTTGATTCTAATAAACATAACAGAGAGAAACAGGACTTACATGAGGTGCTGCAAATGGTTGAGAGAGTTCAAATCATCCGTTTTGATCAAAGTTTTGAACTCCCGAGAGAGCTCCTCGGAGGCTACTCTTATCGACTCGCCCTCCGCCCGCTGCTCCATCGCCTTCCACCGGCCTCAACTGTAACGGGGGATCGAATGGCTTACTTGGGCAGAAAAAAGGGCCTAAGATAATGAAATCAGCTGCTGGGCTTTTATTGGGCTTTTAATTACCAACCAAGTCGAAACCATATTCTGGCCCATTTCATTATTCAAAGCCCAATAAAAGCCCGTAGGCCCAATTCTTTAAGTAACAACTGGGCTCGGCTACTTTCTTTTTTTTCCATCTTTGCCCTTCAATTTACCTTCTAGAAGATTTCCTATATTATTTTCCATCTTTTTAACGTTAATTTTAAAAAATTATTTTTCCTAGATTTCCGATTTCTACAATTTAAATATAAATATGACTTCATGGTTTAAACAAAGAGAATGAAAAGGCAAATTGGGGTTTTGAGAAATAGGATCGAGATTTGAGAGATAGTGTCGAGATTTTGGATTTTGGATATGAAACATGTGTTAAGCTAAGAAAATGATGAGATAACTTAGGTTTTTGAGACATAGGGTCGAGATTTAAGAATCAAGGGACTAAATTCGAGAAGAGAGAAGTGGGGTCGAGATTTAAGAAATGACAGACCAAGTTTGAGAAGAGAGAAATAGGGCGGAGATTTAAGAGACTAAGTTTGAGATAAGAGAAGTAGGGCCGAGATTTAAGAAACGGGAGACTAAGTTTGAGAAGAGAGAAGTAGGGTCGAGATTTAAGACACGAGAGAGACTAAGTCAATTAAGATTTTGATCTGTCTCTATCCTCAAAGCCTCGTTGCCCTATCACGCTATTGTCACGTGTCATACAAACTCATTGTACCATCTAAAAAAGAGAAGAGTAGCATACTTTGTAAGTAACTCCACTAGTAGAATAATGTCATGGGCTCATGATCCTTAGTTTTCACTGGGTTTTGAACATCGGTTCATACTTATCTCGGGAAACATAAAATTTATATTTATATGCTTAACCGATCGGGGACCACTTTCATTTTTTTTTATTTATTTTGGGTTATTATGCTAATTGTTTATAGACTAATAAGTAATGGATTGAATTTCTAACGATTAATTAATTAATTTAAAAATAAAAATAAAATAAATATTCATATTTAAATAAGGTGAAGAGAGAATCTGCGTAAGAACAGGT